TCAAGATGGGGAGAAGACCCGAGTGATGCACACCGATGCCCTTCTGCAGCAGAGGAAGCAAGTTCTGAATCTGAGGGAGCTCACGATCAGCTTCGGATAAGCTCTGAATAGCGTTATTGAAGACAGTCTTGACCATGGCCTGCTCGGAGTCGTTGTTGAACTGGAAGTGGGAGATGTTCAGGGCCAGGTTCTCGACCTCCTTCTTGCTGAAGTTGAAGATGATGACAGGGTGGAAACTCTTCTGCATGATCATTCTGACGATCTTGGAGATGTCGGACTTCATGTCGGCTGCCTGGCCACCCTTTTGAGTGTTCTTCTTGGCACCCTTTCCCTTCCAGTTGGCGTTCGCGTTGGAAGGGTCTTGACCCTTGCCCTGCTCAACCAAGGCCATGGTCTTCTGGAAGTTGCCCTCTCTGAAGACACCCTTCTCATCCACCACCAAGAAGATACCATTGCCGCCAGAGGGGAAGAAGTAGTTCTGAAGAGGAGTGGGTCGGAAATCGGTGTAGACGACGTGACACGCTTGGTGGTGAATCTTGGCAATCCACTCGGCGAACTGGAAAGCGTTCGGAATGGTGGCGGACAGGAATACGTAGCGAACCTTATCGGGAAGAAGAATGATCGTCTCCTCCCAGACCACACCTCTCGTCTTATCTCTCATGTAGTGGATCTCGTCGAAAACGACCCAGGCAACCTCGCGCATGATCTCGGAACCGCGGTACAACATGGAGCGCAAAATCTCGGTAGTCATGACGAGGCAACTGGCGGTGGGGTTGATTGTGACATCACCAGTCATCAGGCCGACGTCGCCAAACAGGGCTTCGAAGTCTCGGTACTTTTGGTTGGAAAGGGCCTTGATCGGACTCGTGTAGATGACGCGCTGGTTGCGCTTCAGACATTGAGCAATTGCGTATTCCGCGACAACCGTCTTTCCGGCAGACGTGTGGGCAGAGACCAGCACACTCTCCTCTCTCTCGATTGAGGCGACGGACAGCGCCTGGAAAGGATCGAGCTTAAAGTTGTATTTCCGCGCGGGCTCGGCCGGGGGCTTGTGCTCTGAGAGAGGGACGTATTCGTAGTCCAGGTCAGGGGGCAAGGCGACCTGATGCTGAATGTTGTGGGAGAGGACGAGGGACTCGTCCTCGGCCTTGGTAAAGGTAGCTGCGCCGGCGACCTCTCGGGACTCCGCAGTCTGGAAGGTGTCGGTCAAGACGGGCTGGGCCTCATCTTCTTTCTTGCGGCGCTTGTGACTCTCGTGCTGGTCGTCGGATGTGGCAGCCGCATCATCGGCGTCCTCTCCGTCCCTAGAGGTCTCGTCGGCATCGGGCATGTCAGCGTCCTCCGCCTGCGTAGGGGCGACGCCATTCTTGATCTCGCCGTCGGCCTTGCGCTTCTTGCTCTTCTTATCCTTTTTGCGCGACTTGGGCGGCTGAGACGCAGCAGACACCTCGGGCTCGGCCTCACTGGGCGAGTCGGCCGCCGCAGCAGGAGCGTCGAAAACGTCGAAAAGCTCGTCCATGGCGGGCGGCTTGGCTGGAGGGACGACCGTATTGACAATAGTTGTGATGGGTATGCTAGTAGAACAATTGTCTTAAAAATAGATGACGGCGATGGCAGACGACGACGACTGGGGACGACGACGAAGGTGGACGACGACGTCAACAACAACGACGTTGGTGGTGAGAGACGAGAAAGAGCTCTCTCGATCTTGCCTGCTGCGATCGCAACCACAGGTGCCAGGGAAAAAAGTTAGAGGTCAGTGCACCTGGAGGGTGGGCCAACAGGCAGAAAGGGAAAGAAAAAATCGGCAATGGCTCAGGGCGGCAGGCGGTCGCGCTCCTACCAGTTGCAAATCCCGACCGCCGGACTGGACGTCACACTGCGGAAGAGTCACGTGTGATTACCTAAGGACATCCCGGCCTCAGGATCTTTGGAGCTTAGCCGGATCACACCTCAGACCACCCTTCTGAATGACTTCAACACCGTAACGAAACCTCTGCCTTCCCCAATTGCGCGTCGCGATCGCCTCAGAACAAACCGCCAAAGTACATACGGCCTCTCCCGAGCTTCGGACCGTTCAATTGATGCTGACCTGCCGCCCGTAGATGCTTGCCCGTGCCGCTGCCCGCGCGGTCCCCCAGACTCGCACCGTCGTCGCTCGCCGCGGCTTCACCACCACCCGCGCCCAGATGAGCTCGCCCTACCACTACCCCGAGGGTCCCTACTCCAACATCCCCTTCAACCCCAAGTCCAAGTGGTTCGGCGCCGGTTTCTGGACTTACTCCGCCGTCGGCTTCTTCGCCCCCTTCGGCATCGCTGGTGCGTCCTTTTTACAGCCCCTCCGGCTTCTGCCGAATCGATATCGAAAGTGCTTGCTAATGAGGGGACAGCCTGGCAAACTTACAAGCCCAAGGTTTAAATGGGCACAATCGCTTTTTTCTTGAGTCGATCGCGAGTTTACACCATGGATTGAGTTGGACCCGGGGGCGGCTTTGTACATGAGCAGAAATAGAGCATTTCGCCCTCAGCGAATCCTTTTCACCACGTTTTGACTGAGATGCTTCTACATGTGACTGCAACCCTACGCTCCGATGATCCTTTCTACGATCCTGCGAGCTGGCAACTGCACCCTGTACAACGCAACGACCATCTGCTAAATTGAGGTAGGTGTGAAATCATATTTTTACATTTATTGGTATCATGGTCTATAGTTGTAATGTTTACACGCGCCGATGTCTAATCGACTTGGGCTTTGGGACGAATTTTGGGAACACTGTGTGATCCTTTCCAGCGAGCAGAAGGCTGACGTACGAGTCCAGGAACTGGGCCTGATCCTCGCCCAGTAGCCATCTCGACTTCAGTTGATCGTACGCATCCAGCACTGCTTGGTGACTTTTGTTGCACTTTCTGTAGGCGCGGAGAGCCCAGATAACGAGCCATGTGTCGAGATAGATACTCTCATGTGCGTCGTTCGCCTGGTTCTGCCAGGGTGTGTTATCGAGAGCCGTCAAAAGCGATTGAAACACGGCATTCAAACGCCTCGGACTCCATTCGCTCTCGAAAACACCACCGTGAGTCACAAACGCCTTGAACAGCATGATGAAGATGCTTCCATGTACGGGGATTTGGTACGTCTTCATCTCATCCAGGTACTGTGCAATCCTCTCGAGGTTGCCTCCCTTGGTCCCGTAGTGACTGATGAGGACTTTGTAAGTCTGAAGATCCGGTCTCATATCCGAGAGCTCCTGCAACTGCGGCCGCATCTCCGGGACTTTCTTTGAAACCGTTGTGAACATCTTGAGAACCTGAAGGATCATGCCCTTCGTGTGCCAGTGCCGGTCGGGGAAGTGGGCCGCCTTGGAGTGTGCCTGCTTCATGTGCTTGTAGACCCTGTGGGCTGCGGCCTCCTCGCCGCATCGCAGGAAACTCGCTATCACGCAGTTGAGAACAGTCGAGTCCACGAGCTCGCCGTCCTCAACCATCTCTTTGTACGCGGCCCGTACGCCGTCCCCGTCCCCTTGAAGGCCGAAAAAGTGTATCAAGCTGACGTGGTGGTACCGGGTAAACTCGATATTTCTGGACCGCATCTCCTTGTATATCATCTCAGCCAGCTCAAAATTGCCAGATTTGGAAGCAGAGTCGAAGAGAATGTTGAATGTGACGTCGTTGCCTTGCACCCCGGCATCCCTCTCCATTTCTTTCCATATTTGCAGGGTATGCTCGGTCTCTGTCGTGGTTGTGAGACCAACATATCGGCTGGCTAGCGACAGAGCAAAGTTCCACTCGCTGCGTCGCAACGGGATTCCACTATCTTTGACCTCCCCGATGAGGGAAAAGTAGCGCAGCATCGACTTTGAGTTCCTCCTCACTGGTGTGCCGAACGCTTTCAGCAAACGATGTCGCAAGTGTGCTGGCATCTGAATCATCCGCGGCTCCGGCAGCGTCAAGTACAAGTCGTATATGGCGTCCAGGCTTATCCTACTAGGATGCCACAGCCTTACGTTCACAGCCTCGTTAAGCCTCTGCAGCAGCTCACCTAGGCTTTTGTCGTCACGGACTGCTTGCTGTAATGATGGATATCGGTTGTCCGCCTCCCTGTCGCTGATTTCGATTTTGGAGGGCTCTGGCTGGGCGAATCGGTTCAAGTATGGGTCCCGTGCGAGTTCCAGGTGTTCCTCCACCGTCCCCGCGTTGCGTACATCGACATTGCCGACGAAATGCAAAAGTTTTCTCTGTTGCGTCTTGGTCAGAACCACCTTCGTGTTCGATTGGGACTCGGGGTCCGAGGCGGCGGCAGCGGCATTGCTGTATCGTTGTACCCGTTGGCGGCAGGGCAGGGCTTCGTGGGGAGGGGCGGATCGCGGCCGTCTGGAGGGCGCCGGCAAGAAGGTGGACAGCAGCCACGAGGCCGTCTGCGGGCAGTGCGCTCCGTGTGTGCGAGCATGTCTGTGGAGATCACGGCGGCAACGGGGAGCAGCCGGCGCCCTCGGAGGTCTTGTTTCGTCTCGGAGCTCGGGGCGTAAAGAAACTGCAGCTGCTCGAATGGCAGAGGGTCGAGTCGAGAGGATCGCGCCGCATAAGGACCCGTCAATCCGGCTGAGAGCTTTCATGGGCTGTCGTGCATTGCGGCCCAGAGAGTCACCGTCCCATCCAAGAGCGCGAGACGGCGGTCAGTTGGGGAGACAGGAGGAGCGGAGAGGCGAGAGGGAAAAAAGCCAACGGCAAGGTTAAGAAGCTTGAGCTGGTTGACCAAAAGCTCCAGGATGATTGGATTGGGAATTATTTCGCAGTGGGTGGGGCCGTGCCGGCCGGCCACGGCGTTAGGATTGGCCGACCGCTCCAAAATTCTGAGCTGCACTTTGGACCTCAAATCGCGACTGGAGCTTTGCAGCATCGAGTCTGGCCCGGGGTCTCGACAGCAAACTCCCTGATCTAATTAGTACGTCTCAATTGACAAATGACGTGGTAACGCTTTCGACTAACACCTTTCGCAGGCTACTATGGGTCGACAAATCCGGCCCGCAAGGGTCTACCAGGCCATGGGCCTGGAGATCAAATCCAGAGTCCTCCCCAACTACCGCGTCCAAGAGCCGCCATGGTTCCAGGCCATGCGCGAGATTCCGCCCGCCGAGTCGCTCACGAGGCCGATCACCAACTACGACGCCCCCGCCAGCTCCAAGCAGCGCAAGCCGCGCAACATCTACAAGCCGCCGAGGATAGTGCACGAGGAGGATGCGCTGCGAACGACCTTCTACAGAGATCACCCGTGGGAGCTGGCACGCCCGAGAATTGTTCTGGAGACGGACGGAAAGGACTACCAGAGATGCGATTGGAGCAAGGGCCTGCGCCAGCCCGGTCTGCCATTGACTGGTGAATGGTACGCTGATCAGGTGATGATTTATCATTTCATAGCTAACGCACACCCAGTGTCGTCCAGCGCCAGCTATACTTCATGCACAGCCACGGCATGTCCAAGGACAAGGCATACGATACCGCGAGAAAGGAGTTCTATGCTTTGCGTCAGGAGGAAGAAATTGAGAGGCGTGTCGCCCGCGAGGAAGCCAGGCACGTGGGTGCGTACTTTGGCAAGAACAAGCTGCAGATCGGCCAGGACTTGGAGGACAAGGAGTTCGAGACATGGAAGGGATGGGCCAGCCAGCGTGCGCTTCTGCTCGAGGCATCTCGTACAGCTAGCTACTCTACCTTTGGCGAGGAGGAGAAGTCTGATGATGCTGTGGAAGCAGATGCCAAGGCGGAGGTTGCGGAGGCGTAAGCAGAGCGCGGCGGCTCCTGTAAGCACTTGTACCACAAAAAACCTGTATAATATGGCATGCCTCATAACGACTGGTGACCATGATGTCTCTACTTTTGGATTTGCGTTCTCGGGCCTGTCACTGGGCGTCTCAGTCACAGCGGGGCCGCTGAATCGGACTGACGCTGATATCAACGATAGTCGTCGTCTGAGTCAGAAAGTCAAGTCTATATTCTTCTTGATCTTCTACCGTCTTTGAATACTTGTGACTGCTTGCCAGCCAGCATGGTTACGTTTGCCTCTTTCCCACGACCATACAACCTGCATTGGTGACACCGTATGCCTTAGCAACCTTCTCGTGCTGTACGAGCAGCATGTCTGCGATGCCAGTACGATGGAACAGCTTGCCTGTCAGGCTGAGAGTGCGGATCCTGGCCCACGACTCGATGAACAGGACCTGCGCGGTATCTTCGGGGATGACGCAAAAGATCTTGAGCAAATACACAACCAACCCGACAATGAACCCCGTCGCGGGTCCATTGGTGAGAATGATGTCGGGGAACTGCTGTCGCTTCCGTGCGCCGGTAAAGGGGGACGACAGAAGCAACGGGAAGATCTGGATAACAGACAGGATGGTGGTAAAAGGAGTCGTGAGGAGGCTCTGGTGAACCTTGCGGGCTCGGGCAACGATGTGGAAGTCGTAGGTGCCAGCCTGCTGCTCGCCATGCGTAGCTTTGAGATCCCGCTCGAATGCGTCCAAGTGCTTTAGGGACATGGTGTCACCACTAGAGATGAGATACCGTCGGTGCATGCTGGGAACGTGGGGGAAGCCAATCTCCATCATGGCGAGCATCTCTTTCGTGTGGCCGCCTGAGCCAAGGACGACCAGGAAGTACGCTCCCCTTAGAACCCCTGAGCTGGCTTGATTGACGGCATTGGAGAGTCCCACAGGGCGCCCGAGACGGCCTCGTTGAATTTGCAGATGGCGGGTCTGGAGCTAATTAGCTGATGTTGTTTCTGGAACAGAGCAATTATAAGTATTTACCGTGACGAAGATAAGGAGTGAGGCGACACTCAAGAAGACGGTGGCCAGGGTAGCTTTCCAGGAGGATATCATGACCAGGCTCACCGCAAGGGTAGTGAGCGCCCCAACGATGAAAAGGAGGGTTGATGCAGCGGGCTTGCCATCTTTCGCCATCTTGAAGCAGGTTGGGAATTCAGAATAGGTGGTTGCTTGCCACCATTCCCTTGGGTGAGATGGCTGTACTGGTGGATGGTGGTGAGTTTGTGTCTAGGTAGGTGGGTATATGAGCAACGTGTTTTATTCGCTGGTAAGAGCTTTTCTAGTTTGAAGTATACCTCAACCCCCTAATCGTTGGTTTTACCGTATTACAGAACTCTCATGGCATTAAAGTAGGCTTCAAGAAAGACTTGAGAAGAAGGGATTAATGATGGCTGTTGGAGGTGTCTTCTCCTCTCGACTCTGGATCTTCTACTGAAGTCCAAAAGGTGAGGTGAATTCAGGTGAAAAACGCCCAGTGTCGACGTGCCTCTATCAGCTGTTAGTGCAGGGTCTCGAGCCACTAGGACTGTTGCTGGAAGAGTGTGGGGAAGCCTTGAAAGTCCCTGCAGAATGCCAATTATGGACAATGGCACCTGCCATCTAGCGCAAGCTGTTAGTACAGGCCACCACGAGGTTCCCGACACACAGAGAGGAATGACCTCATGTTCCTGCTGGTTCCCTGGGATCCCTGCCCTTTCCCCTGCATTCCTTTGCAACGCCCGCCAGACCGCCCGGCAGAACGTGGAAAGTTCCCAGCGAACAACAATTGTCGGCCAAACACCTCGTCCCGCCAGCCTGCATAAATGCATTGTTCAGGCCGAGGAGCCTCCCACCTCAAAGAGCAATGGCACAATTACGAGGGCGCAAACTGCTGACCTGCTTCTACTGCGGAAAGCGCTCCTCGACGCGCTACGACGGCTTCATCCGCGAGTTCCTCTGTCTGCATTGCGATGCGACCAACTACCTGGACGAGGTGAGTCGACCTGGCGCATCGTGAGGTGTGGTTTCCTCTGACGAGACTGTTGTTAGCATGGCGAAATCACCGATCCTCCCGTCGCGAAGACGACGTCTACACCGGCCCCGACAACCTATGCGATCCCGCGGTCACAGTCGCCCGACTTCTCCAGCCCTTCGCAAAGCATCTTCTGCGCGACGTGTCTGAAGAACCAGCACCTGTTCACAAGCTCCCTAGCGCAGTACCTTCCCGACGACCCAGATCACCCCGAATATGCGGAGCTTGAGAGGAACATGTACAAATTCCGGAGGGGCCTCGAGCAGCGATACCCTCAAATATGTGCCGAATGCGAACCGAAAGTTCACGCCAGGCTGGACCAGGCCGGCTACACGGCGCGGACGGATCACTTGCGACGGATGATGGACAGGAGTCGACAAAATCGTACGGTGGTGAAGACTACGCCATTAGACGTATCAGCAAAGGCTGGGAGGTGGCTTTGGCTGGGCGGGATTGTGTGTCAGTACATATGGCATCTCGCGTCCCTTGCGGCTGTCTTCGCGAGCCAAGACGAAGGACCTCTGCGAGATCCTGACGCAGAATCAACATGGATTCAGAGGCTATCTCTGGCACTGACACTGGTCCTACCCAAACCCGAGAGACTGATTTACTGGAGTCTCTGGGCAAATGGGCTGAGCGTGTGGTGGAATCCCAAGTTCGCGCAGGTCTTCCGTGGCTTTTCTCGCCATATCCTGGGGTTGGGCCAGTGGTACACATTCCAGGGCTTGATTCTCTTCACGCGATTTATGGCAATGAAGATGACAGAGATGAAGGGTGGTCGTTCGGCAGAGGAGAGCGCACAGATGAGCCTTCACGGGCTGATGGCGTTGTTGATGATGGCGGTCAGTAGAAGAGGACTTACTGCGTCGAAGGAAAGGCACTAACGTGGAAGCAGATCTATGTCCTCGCACAACGATCAGTCCGTATCGATACGACTCCTCTATTCCAGACGACCTCCTCAGCAACAGGAACACCAGCAACAGGAACGCCTGCGTCATCCCCACCCAGACCGCGAACGCAACGCAAGGAGGAGGGCACCAAAACCATGTCGAACCTACTTGACGATATTCTGGCAGAGTCAAGCTCAGGAGCAGGCATCCCTCCGAGTCCAACAAGCGTCGGCTCCAGCTCCCCAGCGCTCTTCCAGCGGGAGCTGCAGCACAGGGTGAGCAGCCGCAGCTTTGGATTTGGCACCCCTGAACTGCAGGTGCCGCAGTCTCATGTGCAATACTCGGAGGAAATGGACTGGTCCCCTACACAATCCAAACACCGAGCTTTCAACGACTTTGGACCTCCAAAGGCGCCGAACCAGGTATTCGGGCAGCCTGAGCAAGGTCCAAATTCGAGCCCGTTTTGGTACAAGGTGCCTCCTGCGCCGATCGCCCCCGCACAGCGCCTTCGTAACGGGCCAAAACCGCTCTTGACGAAACCGGCCGAGAGGAAGTCCATCTTCGCGACGAGCAGCATGCAAGCGGCCAAGACATCGTCAGGTGCCCAGAAGGAGGGTCTACAGGACGTGGCTTTTGCGCAACCCACGTTCTTCGCGCCCTCGGCGTCCAATCCCACCGATCCGCGCAGCTCACTCGCCGATCTTCTCAATACAAGCTTCAGCCTCAGCCAAGACGACGACGACCAAGACGTTCACGGCAACGTTCAGTCAAGAAATCGCAACGCCCAGGCAGCGAACGCGGGGCCGCTGGCGAGGAGTGCCAGGCTGCGGAACAGCCGCCTACTGGACGTTTTCACCTTGGCGATCCTTCTCGCCGCGTGGCTCCACGCGACGTCTGCGTCATACCCGTACAGCCGGGACGTGATGCTCGGCGCGATGCTGCTGACGATGGCTACCGCCATTCACCTGACCGGAGACGCGATCAGAGGGATTCGCAGCGAGCCAACGCCCAGCTGGGCCTCCATCATCAACACGTCGCTGGGCATCGGCGAGCTGGCTGTGGCGTGTCACTTTGCGCTGCAGATTTGGGACAGCCGCATGTCAGGGCCGACTTCGAGCCTCCCCGGCGCCGCGGTGATTGGCGGGATGCTGGTTCACGAGTTGTGGAACGCGGCATGCTGAGAGCCGCTTACTGTGATTATCAGTTTCGGAGGCCGTGGGACGGAGCATTTAGATGGGTAACATGAAGCATAACATAAGCATTGGTTTTTGGCGTTTGTAAGAGAGTCTGGGTAGAAGGGAGGGATATACATCCATCCGCGTGGCAGGCATTGTCCCAGCGACCAACATGTACGCTCACGGCTGCATTTTCCTCTGTTGACTTTTCTCTTCTTCGCTTATACTGTTTTTGCATGGATAGAGCACGAATACATTCGGAGGGGTGTCGAACAGTGACACAGAAGCTGGTACGCCAACTGGGTTTGGATAGAAATCGAGATCATGCACGCTACCGGCATCTTCCCACGCGTCCTCTCTACCTAGTCGTGCTAGTCTCTGCATCTACCGCTTCCCCGGTGATTGAGGTTTTCTTTGTCTGACCCGAGTTTAGTGGAGAAGGGGGGACATCAGCTTGTTCGGTCGAGCCGGACGCCGTTGGATTACACAGCCAGACAGCTACTATGGAGATACCGATTACAATCGAGTCAAGACCGAATCCCGCCGCGCCGGACTTAATTGTTAAGCAGCGCCGCGGGCGGGGATCGGTGGGCACATCTCACGCAGCTGGGAAGACCTGGAGCACCTTCCGAGGACGCCGGGGCGGCCTTTAGTAAGGTAGGTAAGCAAACAAGTTTTTGGCAGCGTTGGTTTGTGTTTTTGCTAGCGGACGCCGTCGTGGGTTTTGTGGTCGTTCATCGCATGGTTTTGGCAGTAGCGCGTCAGGCGGCGCCGGGGCTAGAGGCGTGTCCGGTGTTCTGTGGAGGAATACAGCACCTAGGTTTTGGCAGCTGTGGGCTTTTGGTTTTGATGGATGCTGGATTGGGTCTTTTGGGACTTCA